TTTCCAACAGTTTTGTCAAGCGAGCGAATGCTCAACATATTAATATATACATGCGCGCCATGCTAACAAATCATCAAAATAACATCAAATTAAAGAGTTCAATACTTGCACTTTCCACATCAAGTTTCATTTCGTTTTTTAAAACTAATGAAAATATATTTCAAATTGTCACCTTTATCAATGTTTAGAAGCTTGACTAAAATCTATCTGGCACATTTACTTTTATCAATTAAGTCTAAAGTCTTGAGCTGGCACATACAACTGAATTCACCAATAAGAAAATAGCTAAAACATCGTCCGAGTCATGTTAGCAAATACTTTTCTCGATATGGATGCATTGAGTTTAGTTGAATAATCAGAAAAAAATGCAAGCTAATTTTCTTGCCACTAATCATTGAGATTTGCAGCTTCCGCATTTGCACGCAATTTATTTCTTACAACAAATATATTGGAGAAACAATGCAATGCTTAAATTTCTGCTATCACAAAGAAAAACACTTTCTAAAACTGTCAAAAGCCATTAATATTGACACTATCTACGTTTTTAAGAAATCTATTTGCTTATTGCCTGACATAAAATCGATGAACAGAGTACGAGGCGTATATATAGTTACCATGGTAATCAACAAACGGTGATAAATACGCTCGGGAAACTAGACACACCTAGCCTTCAATTATTAACCAGTGAAAGACAAAAGTCAACGATGCGTTCATATGCAATGCATACCACACTTGTTGACAGGAGCTTAATCAATTTCGAAACCATGGAAACGCGTCAACAAACTCATGGAAACGAATATGACAATTAACTGCCAAACTTGAGCTGCCGGAAAATAAACCAACTAGTACTTTTTTCAATTTGGGGCGACTTCAACCCTCTGAAGATACACTTGTATTTTTGGCTTGCTTTTGCGCCCATGACGAACAAAACCTGATACGCATGTATTGTCGAGCCGGAAATAACGAGTTTACTAACATGGGCTGATTTTTTTGCCTCGATGTCTCATTCACAAGCGAACTGTTGTATGGCTAGAAAAAGATCAATTTTTTTGGGAGGGGGAAACTCGTCAATTGCACGAGTAGGACAACTTTAAAATTATAATGGGCAACAATTAAGACGCTGCGCCTGTGAGGAGGGGTGATCATCATTCTATAGGGGAAAAATAACTCAAATGCCTACTACTGCACGCTTCCGTCCGTGGCTGAATGCGTTTTCCTAGGCCCGCACCCGAGTCGACAATTTGACATTCTGTGTAAATGCTCTCTTCGATATTTTGTTTTAATGAAATAGGCGTCAAAGCGCCTGCAACACAACATGCGTCGTATGTTACTCAAAAGTAAGATGTAATAATACTTAAAAGAAGAAATGTTGAAAAACATTTATACTTTACAGAACACAATAATATCATTAAACCGTGGTGCTTTTTTTCGATGTTCAATGTTAAAATTGTCAATTCTTCTTTAGCATGACTGTGTTTTTCAGTGAATTCAACGCTTTCCGCGCGGCTAAGTAATCACTTTAGGATAAAAATACAAAATATCTATCTTAGGTTGACAGGCAGTGACTGTTCCTTCGAGTAAAATCCAGCAAGTATGTACAAGCCCATGCATCCTCAATTCTTTTATGGTGGTCGCGCGTAGTCGAGTCGCGCATCCCTTGACAACTATTTCCATTGTATCTGCGTTGCAGTCTGAGATTCTCTATAATTATGCTTTAATCACATAAACAGAGAGCAATGACAGTTCTCACCGAAGCTATGCCTTAAGAAACCTTCCCATCAAACATTGTCTTAAAGTTAAACACGAGGCGGCTAATGTTTGTTGTCGTCTGGGATACTGTTCGCGATAATCAGGATTTTCCTCAAGTTGGTGCCGCATCAAGATAAAACTATAAACAAGCTTTAAAGTTTTACTTATCACCATTGGTATCATAAATGTTTGTACCAAAAGTCATCCGGCACTCAAAGCAATCTAGGGTAGAGAAACGATCAACCAATCGACTTGATTTAGTCATCAAAACACGAGGGATCCAGCCTACCTTCGCTGTTAGTTGTGCAGCAGTACAGTCCAGGGGGACAGCGCAACCTTCTGCAAATTCCGGGAAACTGCGCTTCACATGGCCAATCAAACCAATGCCCAACTTCTTGCTTATTTTTCTTAAAAGCAACACAGTGTTCACTGCCGGTGAAATTGTCTGGTTCACCTCTAGCCCAGCTACGGAATACATCAGGATCGTCAACGGAGTCTCCCTCACAAAACAATTGGTAATTGTTTTCAAAATCATCGCAGTCTATCCAGAAGAGCATTCCCCTATCTGTTCCGTTCTCTACACCGAATTCCCAGAAGAAATCGTTCTCCTCCCGTGACCGCGGGGCGGCCAGGTTGCCTCCCATTTGTCGGCAGGCCTTCCGCGCGGCGAACCAGCTGCCTTCACTCGGAGTGAAACGATAACAAAACCGACGCCATCGCTTCCATGACGGGGGACATTTATCGGTACACGAGTTGTTTTGACGTCGATCGGGTGCCGTAGTGATCAGAACAAGTTGCAAGAGGACGATAAAATGTACAGACGATGGCATGATGAAAGCCGTGTTTCGATTGATTAACGTGGTCGAGTTGTGGTAAGTTTAATGCCGTCCAGCAGTGATTGAACACTGAATCTTATTCGACAGGCCCTCGATGAATATTGTTTCAAATTTCAACAATCGAACTTTCTGAAATCTGAAATTTTGTTTTTAAAACAAGCAATCACTGAAGATTTACTTCCAATATCCATCAGTTACTGGCATCCATAGAAGTCTTTCTTGTCAACAATCCAAACGGGCTATACCAGTTAAGTTCCCAATGCCGTGTGGTCTTGCACAAAATGCTTGAACTCAATGTCACCCAATCAATTTCTTAGATTTTAAACCATCTCGATATCTGGTTACATCATTCGATAAAGACGTCCATTTGACTGCTTTAAGATGTTTTTCTCACCTCCTTTTCGCAAACTCCAAATAAAAAAATTGAAATTCACCGCTTTCTTCTTTTATCAAACACTGTGATTTGAGAGAGTTACACCACTGACGCGAAGTGTGTTCGTGCCTGCTGCTTTAGCGACGTACTAACGATAAACTGGAATTCTTACAACCCCATCCTCCCTATATCCCTCCTATACACGTCAACCAATCAACGGTTACTCTGTCTTAAAGGCACTGTTACAAGCAGTTTATGTACTTTGAGACATTAACAAAATCAGGCAATATGGTGATTTTTGTGACCACAAGTAATGGAGTTCTTTCGACACTGACAGGAATCTTTAGCGTTTATAATTCACCGTTTCAAAAGATTGAGTATAATAACATGTATCGGCATACATGTTTCCTATAGCGATGTGGGGATTCTTTTCAATCAGATCTGGCATTCACTTTAAAACGATAGTTGAAATGAGGCAGAAGACTTCAATTTTGGCCACACGAGCGGTCACGTGGATGAAAACACTGTGGTCATAAAACGAACAAAACGCGTGCAATCGGATGCCATGGTTACGTCGCTGTAAACAAGCCACTCGTTCAAATGAAAAGTCTTGTCCCATATGCGTTAATGGAAAGTGCGCCTGGCAAATACAATAGGTCACACGTCGTCATAGTGACCTGTGGCAATTTCGTTTGAAAACTGCTGATTCGTTACAAATACGCTCTCTCTATCTGATCGAAGACGCGAAGGTTATTCATTATTATATAATTCCATCATGCAGATAGCGATTGGTTGAAGTACATGTTGTTATGGACCCCATGCATGGACAGTAGAGGGCGCTTTGTGACCACTTTCAAGATCCCCAGTGGGATGGATACGCTACGTGCGCATATTAGTTTGCGCACATTTGGCGTGAAGTACGCACAACCTTTTTCATACTGACTGCATGTTTAAAGCTACAGTCCATCATTTGCAGCTATCAAAAAAGAAACTGACGTATTATTGTTGATAAGCATAGTTCTTGGTTTAAAGATAGTAATGTGTATGCACTTCCTGTTCTTTCTGGCAAGCTGTACATGTGATTTTAAAGAAACCAATGAAGTATCGGCGTCTAAAGACGCATTCGTGGAAATTTCCGTTGGTAGTTCGTTTGTTATTCGGGGCAGCGCGCGCAAGCGTAGTCACGACAGTGCGCGACATCGCATAGCTGCAATCGGATAAGAGACAACGTGTCTCGGACGCTGAATTTGGGCTCAATTTAAAACATAACCCAGCAACTTTGATTTGAAATCGAAATCCTAGAATACTGTTTTCTCGGAATATACAGCATTCGCTGAGCTGAAACTTTATCAGGTTAGTTGTTCAGCACCCTACTTAAGATTTTGGGCACGTGTGTTGCTTCAAACGAACATAATGCACACATTACAAACGATGGACGCTACATTTAAAGCGGTAGCGTCTTTGCACGAGCGTCATGCGTCGTCAGCAATGCGTTTGAATGTCCACTTTGTAAACCAGTGGACCAATAGCAACCAGCGTTGCATTCAATATATACGACATTTGCGGTGGAAAAAAAATCATTGATAAGGAAACCATGGAATTAAACGCATCATTATCAACAAGCTCATGTCAACAAACGACAGTCCGCTTTCAATGTTGAGTTGCAGCCGAATCCCGAATAAGAAAGTTGCGATTCGTTTTAAAGTGTTATTAGAAAAACAAACGGCACCAACAGAAAAGTAACGACATTGCATCAAAAAGACAAATGATGACGACGACCATAGACGGATTCGATCCTAGGGCCGTCTGCACTGCTATAAGGTCATGGGTTCGAACACCACCCTCGTTATTTTGTGGAGTTTTGTCTTTTTATCTCCGGGGTGCTCACTTTTGTACTAAGCACTTGTACACACAGTGCTCATGAGATTGCGTCAATGAATGAAAAAAAAAACAATCTTGAAAATTACATAACACCGACGCAAAGAAATGTGTGTACTACATATCCACAGAATTTGAATTTTAACAATAAAGAGCCGTTTTCGTCATCTGACAAAAATCACATCATAATTTCAGAAAAAAACTTGATTTGTTCGTCATGTTCAAAACATAAAAGTCGTACAATAAATGTAATATTAGAAGTCTTGGTCTCACTCAGCTGAAAAAAACTTCAGAATGACATTAGGCATGCCATGGACAGCCGTAAACATGGGCTCTTTTAGTAAAACATGTATAACATCTGATAGTATGGATCAATTGCAGTAATTTTTTTCCCCACACGAACATGCTCGTTTAAAACATGCTTCATCGGTTAAATTCAATTGCTTTTCAATGGGAAACATTAACCCTGGTCAAATTGTTTTTGACTCACCCTGTATCTTTAAACCGTACTGCTATATTTTTTCTGTCGCTCAATGTAACATTCCCATGTTTCTTTGTCTTTCGCGTCTCTGTGTATGTCAGTCAAAGCAGTTGCAGACTATCATTGGACCGACCGTCTGCGATCATTGGACCGTCTGTCTGCGATCAACGGACCGACTGAGGAATCTCATCAAAAAAGCGATGTTTCCACAGCCTATGGTCGAGGTGATCGACAGCGTTGGTCATCTAAACACGAGGGGGCAATCCTATCTTCGCCTTAGGTTGTGCAGCAGTAGGCCTATAGTCGAGGCGATCGACAGAATTTAGTCATCCAAACACGAGGGGTCCAGCCTACCTTCGCTGCTGGTTGTACAGCAGTAGGCACATGGTCGAGGTGATGGACAGAATGTAGTCATCAAAACACGAGGGGTCCAGCCTACCTTTGCTGTTGGTTACGCAGCAGTAGGCCTATATAGTCGAGGTGATCGACATAATTTAGTCATCAAAAGACGAGGGGTCCAGCCTACCTTCGCTGTTGATTGTGCAGCATTGTAGTGGAGTTGCACGGGGTAACAACCTGCAAATGCCGGGAAATGGGTTTGTGCGCTGACATGTTAAATCAACCCACCTCCCTTGTTGGTCTATCACGACAGCCGCGCATTGTTCACTGGGTAAATGATTCGGCTCATTGGCGGCCCAGTTTAAGAAGGCACCCGGATCGTCGACAGATTCTCCCTCACAAAACCACTGGCCGTTGGTCTTCAAATCATCGCAGTTAATCCAGAATTTCTGTACGGTGGAGGTTATTTCCTCCTTTCCGAATTCCCAGAAGAAATCGTTCTCTTCCTGTGATCGCGGGGCGGCCAGATTACCTCCCAGCTGCAGACAGGCCTCCCGTGCGGCGAACCAGCTGTGAACAGTCGGGGTAAAACGGTAACACGAGTCACGCCATTGCTTCCATGACAAGGGACACTTCTCGCTCGGTAGACAAGTGTTTTCACCTTGATCGTGTGCCAAAGTGATCAGGACAAGTTGCAAGATGACGACAAAAAGCACAAGCGGTGACATGGTGCTTTTTTGTCAATTGAAATAAAGATTGGGAATTCAATTCGGTTCGGGAGGCTTATTGCCGTTTTATAAACCAGTTGTGATTCAAAATTGAGTCGTATTCAACGCAAAGAGGTAACATTTAAACAATAAATTCCACCCGGTTCTCTAGTCATCCCAGTTTGTAAGAGTGTGCTTACACTTTGACACCGAAACAATGTCTTCAAACTTCAGCGAGTCGACGAGTTGAAATTCCAGTTTAGCTTTTAGCCAGCAAGTTATATCAGTTCTAGACATCCATTCAAGTCTATCTATTTAACAATCCAGTCGGACAATCAAGTTCACAGTGCTGTGTGGTCTGGCACAAAATAGTCTTAAACGCGATGTCGACAAAAACAGTTTCATTGATTTTAAACCATCTCGATTTCTGAATACATCCGCCGATAAAGACGTTCATTTGACTGATAAAAGCTGTTTATCTCTGTCAGTCTTTTTCACAAACACCAAACACTGAATAAAACACTGCAATTCAGCGTTGTCATCACGTATTAAACACTATGTGAATTAAGGGAGTAACACTGACGCGAAATGTATTCGCGCCTGCTGCGCAACGTACCAATGATACTAACTGGCATTGTTACAAACTCATCCTCCTTATATCCCTTTTATAGATATACGTCTACCGATCAAAAGCAACTCTGCCTTAAAGGTACTGTTACAGCAGCTTCAGTAATTTGTGACCATTTTACCTTATTAACAAAATCAAGCAATATGATGATTTTTGTGATAACAGTAATGGAGTTCTTACAACACTGACAGGAATCATTAGCGTTACAATTTACTGCACATCAAAAGATTGAGTATAATAACATGTAAATGTGTCCTATGTGAGAACTATGCACATGTACAGAATTCGGCCCGACAGTCACTTTAAAACGATAGTTGAAATGAGGCAAAAGATTTCAATATTCGCCGCACGAGTGGTCTCGTGGATGGAAACAATGTGTTATAACGAACAAAAAGCGTGCAACTGAATGACATGGCTACGTCGCTGTAAACAAGCCACTCGTTCAATGAAAAAGACGTGTCCCATATGCGTGAATGATATTAATATGGAATTTGCGCCTGGCAAATACCATAGCCCACACGTTGTCACAGCTACTTGCGACCGTTTCCTGTGAAAACTGCTGATTCGTTACAAATACGCTCTCTCTATTTTATCAAAGGCACGAAGGCTATTCATTATTTTTTGTACTTCCATCATACAGATAGCGATTGGTTGCGGTACCCGTTGCTATGGACTCCATGCATGGACAGTAGAAGGTGCTTTGTGACCACTTTCAAGATTCCAAGTTGGAGGTGTCCGGTTCGTTAGTAAAACGTCATACACGCGCACAAACCAATGATTACGAGCACTCATTGGATAAACACTGAAATTGCGTTAGCTTCCGATTCCAATGGTTCCAATGCATTAATCTCCATTACTAATGGAGATCAATGTTCCAATTCTACTTGATGGCCAGTGGGCGTGGTTTAAACTGAGCTGACGTCACACTTATGAACCGGATATGCCACGAGCGCGTACTCATTGCGCATTTGGCGTGAAGTACGCACGACCTATTTCACACTGACGGCATATTTAAAGCTACAGTCCATCAGTCAGTAGCCGTGTCACGCACACAGCCCTGTTTGACCTCAGTTTCTCGTCCCGAGGTCAAGCACGCATGGCCCAATAGCGTATGCGAGATTTTACGAGATTTATTCGAGACTACAGAAAAACACAAAAAGTGCCTCGATACATGCACTGTTTGGCCAAGATGGCTAAATATGTGAAAAGTTGAAATCGTGTGCTTCATTTTGATGACAAAAATAACTGCTTTTGACAAATATAAAGTGTTGTTATGGCCTGTCAAACAAAATCATATTTTTTATCAACAAACTCGAGGGCCGATAGTTTCTAGGTATTCATTCGATTCTTAAAAACGGCCGAAACAAATGGCAAGGCTAATGGCAAGGCTAAGTAGATAGTGGAAAGTATACGCTTCACTTTCATGTGAAACACTTGCAGGAGACTTCTAATGTTTGGTCTAAATCGCCGGTTGAAAAATGAAGACTTTTGCGAGATTTCATGATTTGTAATCACAATGTACGTGTGTAAACGTACGCCGACGTACATGTACGTTGGCCTGAAAACATTGTAAATAGTACGCGCTATTCGGGCAATGAATGCCTAATGAATATTAAGCAGGCCATACTCGAGCGCGAGCTCGACCAATCAGTGGGCGTATGGGTCACAAGGTCACACCGTGTTTAAGTTCCTCGCTCTATGCTTTACAATGGCTACGATCTTTTCGCGTTGTGAAAAATGGAAGTTGTTGGAAACATAAGGCGTACATCGAATTCTTAAAATATTAACGACATCACGTTCACGAGATTTTTTGTAGATGAAGGTTCACTCTTTCGTTTGATTACCTCAACATTTGGGAGACTTTCGTCGTTCTCGAAAAAAAAACCCGGAAATTTCATGACCTAGTTTAGTCGATTTGTCCGTGAAATAATATCGTCAAAATGCATCGAAATCCTTTTTTGGAGAAAAAAAAATGATAGATGTATGAAGTAGGTCTTCAACTACCTAAAACAACTTTGTTTGTTTGGATCGGTTGTGGTTTGCCATGAAAATTGCGAATTTCCTGAAGCCCTATTTACGGCCATCGTTCGCTGGCCTCGCTTTGCTGTAAGTTGTGTAGACGAGAAAATAGAGCAGCTACGCGTGACACGGCAACTGACTGCCATCATTTGCAGCTATCATAAAAGAAACTGACGTAATTGAAAATATTAGATTTTGAGCACCTTCGTTGCTTCAAATGAGCACAATGCACACATTACAAATGCTAGACGCTACCTGCGATCATTGGACCGAGGCTGTCTGCGATCAACGGACCGACTGAGGAATCTCATCAAAAAAAAAGGTGATGAATCCACATAAAACATTTCGTAATAAATGACGGTGTCTGAAGCCGGGCCCAGGCCTCCCACAATCTCCAAAGTGTTATGGTTACCATTATTGATATCTCTGTTCGGCTTTTGATCTAACGTGGAGAGACACTCGACCTATCGACAGAATTTAGTCATCAAAACACGAGGGTTCAGCCTACCTTCGCTGTTGGTTGTGCAGCAGTAGGCCTATAGTCGAGTTGATCGACAAAATTTAGTCATCAGAATACGAGGGGACCAGCCTACCTTCGTTGTTGGTTGTGCAGCAGCTGCAGTAGGCCGAAAGTCCAGGTAATCCAAAGAATTTAGTCATCAAAACACGAGGGGTCCAGCCTACTTTCGCTGTTGGCTGTGCAACAGTAGGCCTATAGTCGAGGTGATCGACAGAGTTTAGTTTTCAAAACACGAGGGTGCCAGCCTACTTTCGCTGTTGGCTGTGCAACAGTAGGCCTATAGTCGAGGTGATCGACGGAGTTTAGTTTTCAAAACACGATGGGTCCAGCCTACCTTCGCTGTTGATTGTGCAGCAGTGTAGACGAGGTGCAGGGGGTACCAATCTGCAAATGCCGGGGAATGGAGGTGTGCTCGAACATGTGAAATCAATCCAATGCCCATCATTGCGTATGTCGACAGCAGTGCAGACGTGGCCGATGTTAGTCTTTGGTTCACCGGGAGCCCAGTATTCGAATGCATCGGAACCGACCATAGCCTTTCCGTCACAAAACCATTGGTTGTTGGTTTCTAATTTTTCGCAGTTTATCCAGAATAGATTCGATTTTTCCTCTTTTCCGAATTCCCAGAAGAAATCGTTCTCTTCCTGTGACTGCGGGGCGGCCAGGTTGCCTCCCATCTGCAGACAGGCCTCCCGTGAGGCGACCCAGCTGCCCCCGCTCGGGGTGAAACGGTAACACGAGTCACGCCATCGCTTCCATGAAGGGGGACACTTTTTGGCACAAGAGTTGCTTTCACATTGATCGTGTGCCGAAGAGATCAGAACAAGTTGCAAGATGACGCCAAAAAGTACAAGCGATTGCATGGTGCTATAGTTGTTTATTGGGAATCCAATTTGGTTTTTGAGGTTTAATGTCTTTCACAAACCAGTTGTGATGCAGCGATGGTTCTTACTCAACTCATCGGCGTAACTTCAAACAAATATGGAATACGCCTGGCTCCTTCTAACCACAGTTTGTTAGAATGTGTATACGAATACTTTCCGGCAAATATATAGTTCTCAAACTTCAGCAAGTTGGACTTTCCAATCCTTAAAGCAGTCATCACCGACCACACTGTGGATTTGTTTGCCAGTTCTATCAGACTAGTGCATTTATTTAAGCCTAGACGGGCTTTCAAGTTCACAATGCACGAGTGGTCTGGCTCAAAATAATAGTAAACTCAGTGTCACCAACAGTTTCACAAAATTTAAATTATCTCGAATTTTTAAATTCCGGATACATCAGGTGATAATGGCGTCAATTTACGAGAGAACTTTTCCTCACAAAAGCTGTCACCTCCTTTTCGCCAACTCCAAGCTCCGAATTTAAAACTAACTCACCGCTCTCTTCCTTCATCAAACACCATAAAATACACAGACGCCAAGTGAATAATGTGCCTGCTGTTATTATCGACGTATACTATAGCTATACGTACCGACGAGAATGAGAACTCATCAGCCAATCAAAAGTAGACAGTTTTACTGCCTTAAAGGCACTGTTGCATGCATAGGGCGCTGTATCTGTGACCATTTTACCTTAATCCAAAACCACGCAGGCCCTTAATGTCTTGTATGATCAAAATGAGACGGAGTGCATACGCGAATTAAAGGAATCATCAGCGTTAGTCTTTTAACCAAAAGATTAAGTAAAACGACATGTATCAGTATCCCATATGGATGTGGGGATTCTTTTTTCAAATACACGTGTACCTGTCAGTCTCGACCGTCACTTTAAAATGTTACTCGATCAGAAAACACAGTGGTCATTAGTAAGTAAGCCTACTGTTTAATGGCATGGCAACGTAAATGTAAAAACACAGCCGAATACGCCTGAATGATTTTATAATGGGAAGTTGAAAAAAAAAAACCCCACACCCAATACTGCCATTAGTCGTCATAGTCACTAATGACAATCTAATGCTCTAACCACTTGTTCCGTCTTACAAGCACTCTTAATCTTATCGAAGGACGACGATTATTCATTATTTACAACTGTAAAAACAGCGATTGGTTGCGGTACCCATTGCTATGGACTCCATGTATGGACAGTAAAGGGCGCTTTGTGACCACTTTCGAAAGCCTGGCCATAGACATATATTAAATAAAACCTAGACACGTTATTTGCTATTGCGCCTGTGAGCAAAATGTGCGTATACAAATAATGAATGTTTGTGAGTGCAATGGTAAGAATAATTTCATGAGGTGACAGATGAAATGTTCCATTCCACGAGGCGAAGCCGAGTGGAATGGAACATTTCATCTGTCACCTCATGAAATTATTCTTTCTATTCCACGAACGTGAAACTTTCATTATTTGTTTGATATAACACCTGAATAAATCCTCGTCATCTGATTGGTTGACTTTTAATAGCCAATTTATCAAGTTAAAAATTGTTTACAAGTTTGACAAATTCAGAGTTATCATATTTAATTTATGCAAACTGTTCAACAGGTTGAGAACTATCATATTCAATTTATCTCAATTTAAAACTTTTCCATAAGTTTAGAACTTAAACAGTTCAAGAAGTCCAGAACTGTTATTGCCAATTTAAACACCACAGCGCCACCTTCGGCAACATGTGCAGTGACAGTGCAATGGTACTTCTAATCACAGTGCAATAGTACTTCCATTGCACTGTGCGCTGCGCGCCACGGGCGCGCCGTGCATTGGTACGAATAATTCAATGACATGTGATCAACGATCCACCAATCGGATGACGGGGATTTATTCAGGTGTTGTATAATATAGAATAACGTATGAAGTATGCGCGTAAATCGAAGCCTTGCATGACATTCGAGCATTATATGTCTATGAGCCTTGCCAAGTGGGATGGATACGCCGCGTGCGCATATCAGTTTGCGCGCATTTCGCGTGGAGTATGCCAAATATAAACAAAAACATTACACACAATTTAGAAGCATCGCCCACCCAACCTCGTTCCCCATGGGTACGATCTTGCTGCGCCATGCTGTTACCCATCATGCCTTGCGCGATCTTAACCCCTGGAATTGTGTAATTTAAATGTGTCAAAATATGGCACATTATAATTAGGCTGCAGTTTATCCGTTTTACGTACCGTGGCCATCTTAAAAATGTTAAAAGTTGTGATTTTGAAGAATCAATCCTTTCAAACGTAACGTTTGGACCTCACGTTATTCAGCAAAGATTTGTATTAAATGTACGTACCCCTTTCGTCCCTTTACAACCGAAGATACCGGGTTTTCTTTTAGCGAAAAACGAGGCCGCCATAATCCATATGGTACAGGCAGCGCAACTTTTGAATAACAATTTCTTTTTTTCGTACGTGATGTTACGTGCAGAGCACGCGAGCGCACTACGGGCGCGCCCGGCGTGCAATCCATAGATATAGAATAAAAAGTCTAGATCTGCAGCGCGTCCACACGCGCCCACTCACTGTGCGATAAATGTCCGCCATTTTTTCTGTCCCTCGTGGACGCGCAACAAATTAACGTAAAGTATTGGAGCTAAAATGTATCTTTCCTGCAGCACGTGACAAAGCTCAACGCGTGCGAAGCCAGAAATGCGCACCGAGTATTTACGCGATGCGCCCACGCGTGAGCGATAATGGTGCACTGTGCGTGTAAACGGCGTTGCGTTCGTCATGTTTTTGCGCATTATTTGTATCTTTCCTCCAGCACGTGACCCTCCATGAAAGTCCGCGCGTGTGGACGCGCTGCGGATCTAGTCTTTTTATTTTATATCTATGGTGCAATCTTCGAAATGCGCGCGCAGTACGCTGTGAATAGCCAATCAGCGTCATATACGTCATCATCACGGCCAGGGGTTAGTGTAAGGAACGCGCACGCGCCCATGGAGTCGAGGCTGTCTCCCACCACCCTGTTATTCTTGCGAGAACCATGCGATAACGAATCTCGGGGGTCAAAATATTGTGTCTTAAAAGTAGAGCTGTATGTTGGGTGCCAGTCGTGAATCCTGCCGCACGTATTCCACCAGTGCATAGCATTCTGCGGACGAGTGAGAAACAACATTTGTGTATCGGTGTTGTGTGTATTTTGGCAGTGACACACACAACGTGTACCGTACATTGAATTGACGCGAATGCGTAGGCCTACATGCCACAAAATGTCTGCTGCGTCCGATGTAAACAAACGTTTTTTTCGTTTTTTTTTCGGGAACAGTAAGACATTAGGTTAGTCTCCTTTCCATATTTTAAAAATAGGATAAGTAAACAATCCAATACATAACATTTGCGGGGATTTCAGGCCACAAAAGCTCTTTAAACCCGTGGCCTCTTCGCACGATCGTCATATATCCTCAGCAATGCGTTTGAATGCCCGACCCAGTGGTCGCCCAACTCTCCCTTTGTGACCGTGGAGTATTTACAAGTAAAAAAAAACCTATAGGAATCAGCGTAGCATTCAATAATGATACAAACGACACGCGGAATAAATCCATCATATTAAGAAACCATGGAAACGCATCAACAAACTCATGGCAACATACGGCAGTCAGCTGCCATTGTTGGGTTGCTGCCGAGGTGCAAAATTGCAGCTTGTGATTCGTTTTCAAGTATTATTAGAAAAAAAAATCCCCGACAGAAAAGTAATGACATTGCATCAAGAAGACAAAATGATGACGACGACCATAGACGGATTCGATTATTTGACCGTCTGCACTGCTAAGGCCAAAAAAGTCTCCGGTTTCTGGTATGGAGCTTGCCCAACGCGGCTTTTTTTTTTACCTGATTTTTTTTGCCTCAAATTTTGGCTGATGACTGCAAATGGTGCCCGACTAAACTTGATGCAAATATATGGAAGTCCAGAGAGCTTATTCTCGATCATAACCCCATCCAAAAACACGTTAAAATTGTGCAGCAGCAGGATTCCAGTCAAACCAGTGAATTTGGCGGTTTTGAGACATCATCTTTCATTGGAAAAAAACGTTTTCATTTTGCCGACGCGCATGGCTACGGCGACGCGTGCGCCATCTGAAACTGGAGACTTTTTTTTCTTGGCCTAAGATCGTGGGTTCGAACACCACTCGAGTTATTTTGCGGAGTTATGTTTTTATTTCTGGTGGTACTTACTTGTGTACTAGGCGCTTGTGTACGCAGTGCTCGGAGAATGGCAAAACAAAATCTTGAAAATTACATAACACCGACGCAAATAATTCTATCAACTATTAGCATATGATTATAAGGCATTTGAATTTCAACCAATAAGGAGCCGTTTTTGCCATCCGACATTTGGGATCTCGGACATCCAAGAATCGATTTTTAGGAAATGTAGTGCGTCAGTAATTATTTTCATGTTTAGTAATTGTACAAAATAAAGCATTTTGTAATTATAAACATTACTATTACAAGCTTCCGTCCGTGAATGAGTGTGCTTTCCTATAGAGACCCATTACGGTTAACTGAAAACAAGTATTTTTTTCAATGCCCCACTTCGAAAATTTGACATTCATCAAAAACGCTCCGTCCATGTTTATAAAATTGGTCTCAAAACGTCCGTACGACATCATTCTATACACAAACTCAAAAAGGCTCGGCACGAAATAAAATCGCTCGGCGACGATATCGGATAAAAAAAACAAATGTACGGCACTGATTTCACCTCGGCATTTTTAACGGTTAGGCGTTGTATTTTACGAAAACGATAAGATGCCAAGATATAAAGGGGAAAGGTGGCAGATATTTTATACTTTACGCAACAAAATAGTATCATTAAACCGTGCTGCTATTTTGTTCTGGCTCAATGTAGCATTCCCATTGTTCTCCTTTTGCATTTTTTGTGTTACTACTGAATTCCACGTGTTTTGCGTAGTTTAGTATCCATTACAT